TCAACTTTGGATCAACTTGAGCATGGGCAACCAGCTACTTCGTACTGCGTTCCTACTAATGGGAAAACTGCATCGGGATGCCAAGCCAAATCTGTGCATTTGGATATATTACAGATTAGATACATGAGATGTCTGTCTAGGCAGGGTGGAGCTAAACTGTTCTGGACTAAAATGCTCCTGGAACAAGTACAAAGGCAGTGATGCCATGCTGTGCTGGAGCTGGACTGGAGTTGCCTCTGTACTCAGCCAGCTCGGTGTCTCCAAGTGCTCTCGACCACACAACCATTTCACCTCAAACAATGCAGTCTAGAACTAGCTTGGGCAAGTGAGTCTGAAAGATCTACAAATTCTCATCTCATCAGGTAAAATGAGTATCAATTACAGGGGCTACTTCTTACATAAAGGACTGTTTCTCAGTATATTGGGTTTGCGTGGCAAGGTTTTGGTAGTGGGGGGGGCTACAGGGGTGGCTTCTGTGAGAAGCTGTTAGAAGCTTCCTCTATGTCCGATAGAGCCAATGCAGCCAGCTCCAACACGGACCTGCTCCTGGCCAAGGCTGAGCCCATCAGTGATGGTGGTAGCGCCTCTGGGATAACATAGTCAAGAAGGGGGAAAAAGTGGGCCACATCAGCAGCAGTCAGAAAAGAGAGGAGTGAGATTATGTGAGAGCAACAACCTTGCAGACACCAAGGTCAGTGAAGGAGGAGGGGGAGGAGGTGCTTCAGGTGTCTGAGCAGAGATGCCCCTGCAGCCCATGGTGAAGACCATGGTGAGGCAGGCTGTCCTCCTGCAGCCCATGGAGGTTAGCAGTGGAGCAAATCTCCACCTGCAGTCCATGGAGGACCCCATGCCGGAGCAGAGCCCAGGGAGGTTAATGGGGGAGCAGATCCCCCCCTCCAGCCTATGGAGGACCCCACGCCGGAGCAGGTGGATGCCCAAAGGAGGCTGTGGCCCCATGGGAGGCCTGCACTGGAGCAGGGTTCTGGCAAGGACCTGTGGCCCCATGAAAAGCGAGAAGCCCATGCTGGAACAGGTTTGCTGGCAGGACTTGTGACCCCATGGGGGACTCATGCTGGAGCAGTCTGTTCCCGACAGACTGCACCGTGTGGAAGGGACCCAGGCTGGAGCAGTTCGTGAACAACTGCAGCCTGTGGGAAGGACTCACGCTGGAGAAGTTCATGGAAGACTGTGTCCCGTGGGAGGTACCCCATGCTGGAGCAGGGGCAGAGTGTGAGGAGTCTGGCTCAGGAGGAGGGAAGACCGTCAGGGACAACGTGTGATGAACTGACCACAACACCCTTTCCCAGTCTCCCTGCACTGCTGTGGAGTAGAAATTGAGGCTGGGAAGAAGGGAGGGGTGGGAGAAAGGTGTGTTTTTAAGATTTGGTTTTATTTCTCATTACCCTACTCTGATTTGACTGGTAATAAATTAAATTAATTGCCCCAAGCTGAGTCTGTTTTGCTCAGGATAGTAATTGCTGAGTGATCTCTCCCTGTCCTTATCTTGACCCATGAGCCTTTCGTCGTATTTTCTCCCCCATCCAGCTGAGAAGGGGGAGTGATAGAGTGGCTTTGGTGGGCAGCTGGTGTCTAGCCAGGGTCAACCCACCACACTCAGTTTTTAAAAGCCTACTCAAATATTTATTCACAATTCTGCAGCCTGGAATTCAACAAGGTCTATGTCAAAATATGGTAATTTTTTTTCTTCAATTTCTAAAAGGAAACTTCACACCCAGTATAAGATACAGTGCACTCTGTAAGATGGTCCCCATCAGACACCTCTAAGGAGCCTCAGAATGAAACCTAACCTGGTTTAGGACTTTGGAAATGAAAGAATGCCTCCTTGTTCTGAGGAGCTTGCTTAGTCTGAGTTTTTAATGTCTTCTGAAAGTGTTCAATCATTTCAGCTAGTCTGGTCTGCTGCTAAATGCAATATCAGTATTTTGTCTGTTAGAAAACATATCATAGAAATAAAATTAACTACAAAAATAATCAAAAAGCTTTTTTTAATTTTAGAATTGTTTTACTGATGTGACATTGTATGTGCTATATTACTGCAGGGACTTCCATTATGTTACTACTAAGATGTAGTAATCACCTGTTAGGACTAAACTACTTGTTCAAAATATTATAAAATTTGTGGGATACACCTAGTATGTAATCAGTAACATTGTATACATTTTAGTGAATTTCATTTCACTTTATAGTATAATGGAAACTGAATATCTGACATTTTCACAAGTCCTTTTTATCCATATCCTAATTATGTAGCTACAGCTCTGGAAAAAACAGCAGATCTTTATATGGAAACCATCTAGCAGACTGGGTAGAATCACTACCTAAAAGCAAGTATAGAAATGCAATGGAAATTCATATTTTCTCATCACAAGTATCAAAAATTCACTTTATAGAGAAACACATCATTGCATTTCAACATCTAGCAGGAAGTGACAACCTTGTCCTTGTTCTTACTACTACAAAGTGAAAAGAAGCAACCAAATGAAGCATGTACATCACCAGCATAGTAACGTCTCGTTTTAAAATTCTTTTAAACTTTAAAGGGTAAAGTGAATGTACTACTGTTTATCAGTCTGGCATTTTTTTTTTCTCATTCCCACATTTTCTATCAACATTTCCTGAATAAACAAATAATGAAGAAGCAATGAAGCAGATAATAATTACTACCAACATTGTAAGGATAAAGAAATATTAATTCTTTCCATGCATAACTGTTGAAATCTTGAGAAATTTTATGTCACTTGTGAAATTTCTGTGTGACCAAAAACTCAGCTCAACAGTATTGAGCCATGAAATGAAACCTTAGAGAATTCTTTGTGCAAGTGGCAATGAACAACCTCACTGAAAGGAATCTTTCAGCCAGCTGCTTTAATGTAGTTAGCCAACTTCCCAGTTTAAAGACAGTCTCTGCCAACGAAAAGATATTGCTTTCATGCCTGAGTCAGACAAACAAAATATGTCATGAACAAAATTTTTGTTTATTTTTAATCTTAACTGGGTTTTGGGTTTACTTTTCTCATTCTCAAGCAGCCAACAGGATTTGGTTTTGATAACAGATTTGTTTAAAATGTGGCAGTATGGGAAAAGCAAAAAACATTAAAAAATAAGTTGTGGCTATATAAAAGAAAAGCATAAAGATGGTACTAATAAGATGCACACCGTCTATTATACAAGAAACTTTGCAGCTGAAACATAACAGCTGCCTCTGTGTACTTGTAAAAAAATGTAGCAATTAAATTAATAATCACTGAGTTTTGACTTCACAGTTTTCATTTATCTTTAACTCTCTCTTCCCAAGAAAAGGAGCTCAAACTTAGAAATAATGAACAAATAAATGTGCTTCTAAAACTTTAACAAACACACTATGATTTTGACACAACATTAATTGGGGTATGATATAAAACCTGGAGAATTGACAGAATCACAGAATGGTTGAGACTGGAAGGGACCTCTTGAGATCATCTAATCCAACCCCTCTGCTCAAGCAACCTGCTAAGACCAGGTTGCCCAGAAACGTGTCCAGTCGGGTTTTGAATATCTTCACAGGTGGAGACTCTACAGCCCCTCTGGGCAACCTGTTCCAGAGTTTGACCACCCTCACAGTAAGAAGTGTTTTCTTTTCTTCAGACTGAATTTCCTGTTTTTCAATTTGGGCCCACTGCCTCTTGTCCTGTCAGAGGGCACTGCTAAGAAAGTCTGTCTCCTTCATTTCCTTCTATCAGGTATCTATACACATCGATAAGATCCCTCTGACAGCCTTCTCTTCTCTAGGTCAAACAGTCCTAGCTCTCTCAGCCTTTCCTCATAGGAAAGATGCTCCAGTCCCTTAATCATCTCTGTGACCCTTTGCTGGACTTGCTCAAGTAAGTCACTTTCCTTTACTGGGGGACCCAGAACTGGACATAGTATTCCAGTTCAATTGTGAATATTGCATTTAGTCTGCAAAATATGATCGCAACTTTGAAATTAAATTTATAATGGCTATTTACAGAGCAAATAAGGTTTCACAAGTAGCAAAATTGATGCCAGGCAAATGAATGTAATGAAGCAAAAAGAACTAATGACGATGTTCTCTTCAGATAGCAAATGCCAAACGTTAAGGTAGACAGGTAAGCCAGAGGAACAGCGGGATCTAAGCCAACATAACTTCAGGGAGAGAACAAGAAGGTAGCTACAATCATCAAACTCTGAGATCTGGCTATTACTTCAGATTGGGAAATGTTGTTTTCTTCCTCTTGTTCTCCTTAAGGAAGGTATTTGTGATGGGACTATTGTATTTTAATAGTGGTAAATGGTGAATAGAATTTTCACTCAATGAACAAAGCTGATTAGAAGCAGAGTTTAAAGAAACTAGATAGTATATGAGTTTTTCTTGCAGATTATTAAGACATTCACACACGAAAAAATTAATTTAACTTGCTCTGACTCAGTAAGAAAGAAGGAGTAAAAGTAGGTCTCAGTGGCTTTCTTGATGTCAGAGCAAATTGGATTGGGTTATTTGTTTCCAGAAGCAGTAGTAAACCGTTTAGATTAGGTAGAGGGAAAAAAAAAACCCAAACCAAAGACTACTGGAGGAAAAATAATCTTTATGCATGATTAGTAATTTTCAGCATACTTTCCTTGTCAGTTAAAAGAAATAAAATAATTTTTAACATAGAATTTTTAGCTTTTGTAATAAAGACTGAAAAAGAAAGTAAAGTTAGTTTCTGCTATGGAAAAGAAAACACTGAAAAGAAAAACATTAAGATTAGGCATAAAAGTAACAAAGGAGATAACAAGGTACATATTAGTGAAAAGCAATGCCAGCTTTACTTGGAAGTAAATAGAAACAACATTAGATATTTATATAAACAAAGAGTAAGTAACCCAAAATAGAATACCTTCTCAGAAGTTCAATCATATTCACTGTCAGAGCAATTTCATATAACAGCACACTGTGCCTCAGCTTGCTTTTTTCTATTCATCACCAGTTTGAAGGATACTCAGTAGAAGAATAATATGTGATTCTGCAACAAACTGAGCCTGACTGCTTCCATGTATGTAACTCTGTAAAATAAAAAATGAAAAACAATCCTCTTTAAAACAAAGAAATCCATTGAAAATGGCACAATCGGATATGTGAGAATCAAAACAAAACCTGTTTTGCAGAAAAATACAGACAGCAACAGCTACTACTTAACAGCACAGTTTATGCATGTTTAGAAAAAAGGAGTGTTAAAAATAGCATATTTAGGCAAAGCACATATATAGAGTGACTGTAATGTTTCATACATGAGTGCATTATGCTGAATTCTTTTTCACACTGCTGCTAGTGTGGAATAAAGAACGTGCATTTATTTGCTCAGGAGACACAATTTCTGAGAAAGAAGGTGATGAAATCAAGGACATACCTCAGCACGGTTTTTACAACAGTGAAAACTGAACCTTGCCTTTAAAAAAAACTCTATGCTTTAGTCTTACTCAGATTCAGTGAAGTTTCTGCATACAAAGTCTATTCCATCTTTCTCCAAGAAGGTACATTTGTGTAAATTTTGTATAAAATTCTATATTATCCATAAAAAATTCTAATTCATAAAATGTCTTGTTTATATGGAATTGTGGTAAATGCAATCACAGATGTTAATAATAAATGCAAACGTAACATAGTCCACTTTTTTTCCCAAAATAATTATTGTTAATGAGCTCACTTTGTACATTTATTGTTAAGAACATATAATATTATTCAGAAGTTGTGTTTACTGTTAACTACCTATCATAGCAAAAAAGGAAGCAAAAATTTGAAGGACTGCAAATGTACAAAGCAAGGGATATTCTCTACTACATCAATTACAAACACCATGTTCTCAAAGTATTATTTATATGTATTCTTCTTAAGCATAGATACAATTTTCACCCCAATTAAATAGAAAGAAAAATGCTCACTCCTCTTAAGGTAAAGAAAAAGGAAACTTTTAGCCCTCCTTGGGCATTCAGCGTTTTGTTAGTTTGTTTATTTTTAAACTAATAGGCTTCACTTTAATTCATTTTACTTTGAATAATTCTGCTTGAATACCATCCTTGTCAAGATTCAGAAAAATTCAGATTTGAAGTACACTGATGCTTCAGCATACAAAAGAATGGCCTCATCCACACTGGTTAAATTCTGGTTGATGCACTGTCAGAACATGTAGTTCATAAGATATGATAAAAGTTTTTACTCAGTGCATGGTTATCTGCTGTTTTCAAAATTCAGTTATATTATGCTCATTCAAATAACCAATTCAAAGCTAAACAAGGCAAGAACTTCATGTATCTCACGATGCCATCTCTCAAAGACGGCATCTTTTTTCTTTAACAAGAAAAAGATCACTGATCTCATATGAATATCTCACTGCAATACACTATGATGATAAGCCAATCCATATTTCTTGATTTTTTGCACAGCCCCTTAAAAATCTCACTAAGGCGCTATTATATATTGATATATATATATACACATACACACACACACACATATACCACAGAATCACAGAATCATTAAGGTTGGAAAAGACCTTTCAGATTATCAAGTCCAATCATCAACCCAACACCACCATGCCCACTAAACCATGTCCTGACGTGCCACGTCTACAGCCATTCTGAACACTTCCAGTGATGGTGACTCCACCACCTCCCTGGGCAGCCTGTTGCAATGCTTGACCACTCTCTCAGTAAAGAAAGTTTTGTGACATCTAGTCTAAACCTCCCCTGGCGCAACT